CAAGTAGTGAGCTATGGGTGCACACGCTCATGGCTCGTAGTGGCGCTGCGTCGCGATGTGCATATTCGTATTACAATATTTCAGTACCCCCACCCGACCAGCTACAGTACCATCCCAATACAGTTGTTGTGATATAAAGGTTTTTTTTTTTGTTTTTGCAATTGTTGCTAATATACATAAGCCTCATGTAAAACGTTTGAGCGCGTTCAGTACTAAAGTTTACCGTTAACTTTGCTGTGCTAATTTCAGGCAGTATTCGTTTTTAATTTTTCTTTTTTGTATTTTTGGTTTAACAGAAAAAATATTTTGTTATTTTTCGAAGCATTTTTGGACGCTTTTTAATGCTAACCGTTTATTTACTGGTTCCAAAAGTTCATTAATTGAATATTTGCCGTTTTTCATAGTATTATAAAATATTTCGAACAAGTTTACTTGCATTGTTTGTAGTTGTAATTGTTCGAATTGGTTGCGAGCGCTTAGAGTTTGTAAAAATTTTACATCCATATTGTGTTAGTTATGAGGAAAAATATACATATGATTGCAAATGCCACATATTTTGCGAAATTCGTACATTTTTTTTAGTAAATTAAATTTTGATTTTCCTTCAAATAACTCGAAAAAAATTCGAACTTGGATTTTAGGCGCCACATTTGCGTTGCTCTTATTCTTACGTTTTTATAGTGTCAATATGTTTTCAAAAAATATATAATTTCTTTTTTTGTCAAACAATACAGAACAAAAACAGTACAAACAAGTGTTTTGCCAAATAAGCAAAAATTTGCAAAATAACTGCCGAAATTGTGGGCATTTTATAATATTTTATCCTATTTTCTCAAGCAAAATAGTAATTTTTCTACTCAACTTAGAAACAAAAATCGACTGCAGACCCGATTGTTAGTATTGTGTACGTCCTTACTCACTTTAGCCGTGTGTGATTAGCTTGGTAAAATGTAGTTTTAAGTAGTGATTTTAAATATTTAGTTTTACTAGTGCGAGCTTTGCGTCTTTGGTAAAGTTAAAAGTGAACTTTTACTCTCGAAATTTAGAAAATTTATTATTATTAATAAAAAATAATAAATATTATAAAAACTTATTAAAAATTTAGAAAAAAATTAATAAGCGATTATTTATTATATTTAAAATCGAAACAAATTTAAAAAAAGATTAAATTATTGTTGTGAAAGCTTAATTGTGATTAAAAAGCTTTAACTCTATAGCTTTAGATGTTCACGAAGCATCTTTAACAAAACATTTTACCCAAACGTTTGCCTTAGCAGTTTTCATGAATTTATGCCTTCGAACTTTCGCGAGCTTTCATAATCGAAATCGAAATTATTTACAGTCCCTGTATAAAGTATAAAATATATTATGCTATTATATTAGCACCCACTTTTAAAAAAATACTGCTTTATTAAAATTTTAAAATAAACCGAAATCCACTTCTACAAAAGTTTTTTAAGATGAAAGCTCACTTTACCATTATCTCTATTAACATAGCCAAATGTTTCGGAAACTCCCTTAAGTATTTTTCTTAGTCAATAAATGGTAGATTTATGCGAGCGAGCTTTAGCAAACTTTCGGAAGCGAAATTTAAAGTACTTAGCCCAGCTGATAATAAAAAAAATTAAAAATAATATTTTTTCATTAGCGCAAATTTTTTTAATAATTTAATTTTTATAATAAATTATTAATATAAAAACACATATTATTGGTGAAGTTTTAATAAGTTTGGGATTGAAAACTGTTTTAAAAATAGTTGTGTAGTTATGATGAAGCTTTCATTTGCTTCTTCTATATTTAAAATAATAACAATAGCAAAAATTTGGTTTTCAAACACTTTTTCAGAAATATATAATACCGATTAAAGCTTTTATTAACTTTTTTTAGCCTAATATAATAAAAATATTAAGCATTGCTGGAAAAACTTTTATTTCAAAACACTTCGTTTCCTTAAATTTTGGTTTTGAAAACACTTTTCAGAAAAATTATACCGCTAAAAGCATTAATTTGCGTTTGCTTTCTTCTAATATAATTTGGATCTTAACCATCTCTTAGAGAGCTTTTTGAAAGCTTTCTTAAGTTTTACCTTGGTAAAAACTTTTAAGCTTTGGTTCGAAAAAGCCTTTAAAAAATAATTCCGATGATAGCTTTCGGCTTTATCAAAAATATTAATAATATTAAGCATTCTTGGAAAAACTTTGGTTTCAAAACACTTCGTTTCGTTAAATTTGGATTTGAAAACACTTTTCAGAATTAGTTCCGATTAAAGCTTTTAATGGCGTTTATTATCATCTAATATAATAAGACTATTAATCGTTTTTAAAACAGTTATATGAAAGCTCTCTTAAGTATTACCTTGATGAAGACTTTTTTAGGCTTTGGTTCGAAAACGCGTTTTAAAGAAAGTTTCGAAAGTAAAAATTCAGCTTTGATTGGTGTTTGTTATCATATATTATATGATTGTAATTGGGATTTCAATTGTCTCTGAAAGAGTTTAAAGAAAGCTCTCTCAAATTTTACCTTCGGTAAACAATCCTTAGATAATATACTTTAAAAATTCAACTCGAATAAAAAGTCTCTAAAAACTCACTTAACCACAAAAGGCGCAAAGTTCGGCATAAATTTTTTTTTTTATTTCTCATTGGCACCACGCCAACCAACAACAACATAGTTTCATAGCCGTAGTGTGCAATGCGCCTCACAAACCCACTCTATAGTACCGCTAGCTAGATGAATAAGTAGTTAGTGCTGCGATCGCATTCCAATAGAAATATGCGCCCCTAAAACTATGCTATCAATAAAAATAAATAAGTAAACCAACTAGCTGCAGTAGCAAGTTCAAATTAGCCTAACGAATTTTCAAAATAATTAATAATTTTTCTAAATAATTATTTCTTTATTTTTGTATTTGTGTAAGCTATTATTATGTAAATATGATAAATATTTTGATACTTTCATTTAATTATAAATACTTTTTTTTTTTTTTGTAATATAAATGTTTTAACCACCACCAATTGCGTACAAGCAAACTGTGTTTAACCCTTCTATACTTTCTGTTATCTGTTTCTTATGTCCACCTGAAAACTTGCAAATTTGTAACGGTATATGTTTTGTGTCTTTTGTTGTATTGTGTGAATTTGTCACGTCAATATTTTATTATTTCTTATTTTTGACCATTAGGAAAATTAATTATTTTATTTTTTTCCTTAAACTAACTCTAATTAAAAATATTTATTTTAAATTGTTAGTCAATTTTAGTTTAGTATTTACTTATTCGTATGTTTTCTGTCTTTGTCTCACAACCATTAGAAAGATTACATATTAGTACAAAGCTCGTGTGTTTCGTGTCTTCCCCACCCCCTGATCCAAGTAAATATGTCCAGTAGTGTTAACACTAAAGACAAATTTTCCATTCGGAAGTCAAGGCTCTGTTATTTCGTATACATAATTCGCCAGAAAATCAAATAAAGAATCAAAAAAGTATTTAATAACTAAACGGCTGTACTCGTAGATATTATTTTATTTTTAATTTATGATAATACATATTTTTATCTACAAATATGACTAAAGTATGATATAGCTTATTAGACCTCTGTACAGTCTCGTCAAAGTCCTCCCAACCTCTTGCACCTTGTCTTTTGACACATCCCTTACTCCCAACGACTAGTTCTTAGCGCAATTCAACATACTTCCATCACAATTCACATTTTCTATTGCGTTACTTCAAAATGTATAAAGACATACTTATTTCTGTATATAAATATTAGAAAGCAAATAAGCAGAAATTAATTCTTTGGAACTGGTTTGATGCAGACAAGCACAAAGTGCTTGCGTTTTTGTGTGTGTGACTTGCAACAAAGTAACCAACAACAATTTTCAGCGCCTTGACTGAGTTCTCCAATTACCCTCTTTTACCCTTAACACCTTTATGGTGCGAAATAATGATTTCACACCGAAAGCTTTTAAAGTTGTTGAAGCTTTTTGCCAAAAAAAAGCTTTGCCTTCTCGGTTTTGTAGACGGAAAAGAAGCTTTCATTATTTTAAAAGAAAAGTGAAAGAATATTTCACACCGAAAGCTTTTAAGCTTGTTGAAACTTTCTCCCGTAACAGCTTTGTTTTTCTGTGTTGCAAAGGCAGAGAACAAACTTTAACGATTTACTTAAAAGCAAAACATTATTTTTACATCAAATGTTTTTAAGCTCCTTGAAGCTTTCTTTCAAAAACGCTTTGTTTTTCTGTGTTTCATAGACAGAAAAAGAGTAAAACAATATTTTATATCACTCTCACTGAAACTTCTTCCTAATAAGCTTTTAAATTTCTTATTGAAAAAAGGAGCATATTTTTTTTAAAACTGAAACTCTCTCTTGGCTCTTAAGCTTTTAAGCTCCCTAAAGTTTCCAGCTTTAAAAGCTTTGTTTTTCTACGTTTCTGACAGAAACAAAAAGCTGCACGAGTTTTAAACTTTTAAGCTTGCCAAAGCTTTCTGCCTAAAAAGCTTTTCTTTATCTAAGTTTCAGACAGAAACAACAAAGCTATAAAAGTTTTTCTAAGTTTTGGACAGAAACAACAAAGAGTCACGAGTTTTGTAAATTTCTGCTCTTACATGTGAGGAGGCGAGCATAAACTCTCCGAATATTCAACTACTGAGACACTACCGCTTTTTACTTTTAAAATTTCTCAAACTTTTAAGCCCTTTAAAGCTGTCTACCTTACTTCGTACTTCGTTAAGCTTATAATTTAGTATATTTAAATATAATTTTTGTTAGAGCAATCTTAAGTAATAAGCAAAAGCAAAGTAACTCCCATAACGTTTTGGTGCATAAGTACAAAAAATACAACAAAAACATAATGCGATTTTCAAAGCAAAAACATAAAAAATTTTTTTTGTAACGAAGTTTATGCTAAAACCAAAAAACTCAAAAACCAAAACAAAAAAATGAAAATGAAAATGAAAGAAACAAGCGTATGAATTGAATCGAATTGAATGTTCTTCTCAACAGGTTATCGCAGTGATATCCATACTATTTATAGTCCTGTCTACCATAGCCCTGACGTTGAACACCCTACCACAACTACAACACAGTGAGAATGGTACACCATCTGATAATCCGCAATTGGCTATGGTTGAAGCCGTTTGCATATCGTGGTTCACCTTAGAATATATACTTAGGTTTAGCGCGTCACCGGATAAATGGAAATTCTTTAAGGGTGGCCTTAATATAATCGATCTATTGGCAATACTCCCATATTTTGTTTCCCTATTCTTATTGGAGACGAATAAGAATGCAACGGACCAGTTCCAGGATGTGCGCCGGGTGGTGCAAGTATTTCGCATCATGCGCATCCTGCGAATCCTTAAGCTGGCCCGTCACTCAACGGGCCTGCAGTCGTTAGGCTTTACGCTACGTAATTCATATAAGGAACTCGGTCTACTAATGCTGTTCCTGGCAATGGGCGTTCTCATATTTTCTTCGCTGGCATATTTTGCCGAAAAGGATGAAAAGGATACAAAATTCGTTTCAATACCGGAAACATTTTGGTGGGCGGGTATTACAATGACAACTGTTGGCTACGGGGACATCTATCCCACTACTGCACTGGGAAAGGTTATTGGTACTGTGTGTTGCATATGCGGTGTTCTGGTAATCGCTTTGCCTATTCCCATCATCGTTAACAATTTTGCTGAATTTTATAAGAATCAGATGCGACGCGAGAAGGCGCTCAAGCGGCGCGAAGCGCTAGATCGGGCCAAACGTGAGGGCAGTATTGTGTCATTTCATCATATCAATTTGAAAGATGCCTTCGCCAAATCGATGGATCTCATTGATGTCATTGTGGATACAGGTGCGTAAATAACTATATATCTACTATATATAAATATTCGCATAAATACTATATATTTATGTGAAAAAAAATTTTACATACACAAAAAAAAATATTCATTAGCAAAACAATTTTTTTTTTTATTTTGAAAAAAATTTAATTATGCTTTCAACAACATACTTATGCTACGACGTCATGCCCATACTTTATTATCGTACATTTTCATAGCATAAAATACTTATTTGTACTACTGTACCATATACATATGTCACTAACATTTTTAAAAATTACAAATATATTTACAACAAAGCATAAATTTACGAAATTGTTTTTGTATTGTAACGTAAACATATAGGTATTTGTTGTTATTAGAAATAAAACTAAAAATAATAACTTAAAATTCATTCACACAAAAAAAAATCAAAAAATTATAATATTTGTTTAGTTAAGTCTACAAATTGTAGTTGTAGCTGCCTTGTGGTATATTGCTTACAATAATTTGCTTACTTACATTACTCCTAAGTTCGTGCGCTTTTCCTATCTATTTTCACACACACTTACTTCAATTTCTGGTTGGCCTTATAGCAGCTCGCTTTTCCAAATTCCATATACTTAACCATTTTGTTCCATTTTTTCTGAAATAAAAACTATTTTTAACCAAAAATTAAAAATAAAAATTGGCATTCGGCATGCATTTTTCTCAATATTTTTATTAATTTCATATTTTCACAAATTTTACATGTTCACAAAGATATTTTTTCTAACACAGAAATTAAGTTGCAGCGAAATTTCAATAAAAAACTTACTATTATGTAAATATTTAAATAAATCTCTGATGATAGAAATTTTCAAAATAATTAGTTGTAGCTTAAAATGAACGATTAAGTAGTTTAAATAGAGAACACATTTTATAAAAAATAAATAAAAAGTTAAAAAAGTATATGCATACACAAAACGTATTTATAAACTTGTACCAATATTATATGCAAATACGTAATCCCCACTTAATGATAAGTTCTTAGTATTTTAGAATTAGTACCTATAAGTATCTTCGATTCGCCACCCTCTTGTATAAAGCTCTGCTCCCTTATGGAACAAAAGCGAAAGCACCGGCAAAGTTGAATGGAGGGAATGTGGATGCTTCATTGAAGTCTTCTATTTCATTGTTCTGCATCGAAATATTGAATTATACCAGTTTATAAAGCTTATACCAGTTCTTTCGATTGGAGAACGAGGTTTGCACCACCCACTTATACTATTGATTCTGAAACACTACTATTCAAGGCATAACGAATCGAAGATAACTTTTAATAATTAGTATGATTAGACATATGCAATACACATATAGGTAATATATACATATACAATGAAAATATCATGTGCACAGTAAAATTTTTCTAAAGTAAATTCTAAATAGTTTAAATAGCAATAAGTTTTAAATAAGAAATTCTTAGAAAAATGTATTATTTAGCTACAACAATTTCATATTTATTATCGCTTTAATGTGACCAACACTTTTAGCAGCAGCCATATTCGAAAATACTTTTGTGACATGTAAAGGTCTGTAGTCAAACCGCCTTTTTCTTTACGTCGTTTTGTCTAGATCTTCAAACCTTTTAAATGTTAGAAGATCTCTGCAATCTGGTAGGTGACATTATATGACATACTTATTCCCGCTCTAAGAGTTTCATAAAATAACATTCAAAACTTTTTTTTAACGATTTTTAATAACAATGACCCCCAGACTTACATATACTATTTTAAGTCCATTAAAAGAGAAGATATGCCTTGAATTAACAGCAGCAATTTTCCTAGAGAGAACATTGTCCTAATTTGTACACACTTTTCATATCAAAAATTTATTTAATTGTGGACAAGGAATATATAATATCAATAGAACAACTATTCGTCTACTTATTTCCTAGTTTCGATGGCTAATCTAGAAATATCGCACGTGGACTGCTGTATATTGAGAAGCCATAGAAAAGAAGAATTCTAGTTTTCGAACTAATAAAGTAGCAAAACGCTTAGTAGCCAATGTAAATTTGCTCAGGCGTTTAATTTCCATTCCCCCCATATTCGGTGGGATATCTGAAAGTATGCGCAACCAAACACGGGACAATCAAGAAAGAAGTGTTGAGTTGTTCCCATCTCGTCTTTTCCCATAAAGCTGCTGTAGATAGTGTCTGGTAACCTTGCAGCATAAACACCAACATGTCAACAGCCTGTTAAATGCCCCACAAAGAGCGAGAGGCTTACTGAGGGCTAAGATATCACTAGATTTCTTGCGTTCGATCTTTTACCAAAAGGCTTTTGCGACAGCGCATGTACCATTGGTGGCCCAGCGCTGGCCAAGCTTTCGCGAAGCCTCGCTATATAGTAGTAGAACACAAGAGGATATAGGAACACCGACCCGCTCCCGCTACCGATAGAGATTTTAGGGTGCTTTTTCTTGCTAGCTCGTCAGCGTTACTATTTCCTACAATTCTTATTTGGCTTGGCACCCTTACCAGTCTTATCTCAAAGACACTCGATGCTATTGATAGCGAGGTTAGGCTCTCCTTGAACACACACTGTTATTGAACTCGTAAAGGCTAGTATCGCCTCTTGGCTATCTGAGTGGATGGTCAAATTTCTCTGAAAAAGGCTGTACTCCGGAGTAGTAAGTTTTCTGCTATTGCTAATGGCTGCAACCTAGCATTGAAAACTCTGTATTAATCAGGAAATCTGAAGCTGGAGTTGATAGATTGCCCTTGAGAGTCTCCACGAACCTTACCCCCAAGCTTTGACCCATCTGAAAAAAAAGCTCACTGCTCCTCTCCTCTAACTCCATGATCCAAGTGATCCAGTATGAATTCAAAGTATGTGAGGAGAGCCAAGTGTTCAGACACGTGTTTTATTAGGAAACCTTCCGACCATATGAGATACTTTCTACGTCTGAATTAAATATTTTCTACGATAACTAATCACAGAGTCTTCAGCTTTCGGATGACCTTTTTTAATCCTAACCGTATAAGAAAAGATATCTCTTTATGATATCTGATCAAATTGGACCGGGCCGATATTATTGATTTCAAAATAAGCTTCAAAGGGCAATGCAAGCATGCCAACGCTGAAATCAATTTTTTACAAATTTGTTATAAGCTTTGGCTGGGATTGTCTTCAGTGTCCACAATGAGTTCCAATTTTTTGAATGCAAGCTCCTCAACTCAGTCAATCATCTATTTGACGACCACAACACGATATCATTTCTGCAAAGATAAAGGCATTCTGATACGATTCCAACCAAAATGTGTTAATTTGATCCATAAAAGATGTTGAGATCGTTTGCTACCTCTTTGATACAAAAATGACGATTTTGTTTCTTTAACTTTTTCGATGTTATCGAGGTGGAGATGTACCACACCATTAAGCAAGTTTTCGATGACTTCGCGACCTTCACTGAAAGCCTTGAGTCACTCAAATACTTCTATTCGTGATAAAGTGTGACGGGTGTGCTCCAAAAACCCGAGGGCACTATTTTAAACAATTATTTAGTCGAAATTCTATTCGGACCAAAAACTTCGCAATGCGCGCGCTCACTCCGGATCCAATTTGATCATATGGTATAAAGATTAATGTTTGGAAAATGTTTGACAGCACAGAGGACTTTACTGCAATAATTCAAGTGTGTCCTACTGTACGGTAATCAACAAATACTTTCCTAATGGTTTTTAGCTATGTAATATATTTTCGAAAGCTTTAGGATCCAATTTATTCTACTGCAGCACCATATTTAAGTATTATTTAGAAGTATATTCAAAAAAATAAATCTTTATTGTTAGCCTATATTCAAAAAATATTTCCAGTTCCACTATCAACACTCATATATATCCATATTTTCCCATAGTGCTTAGGTGTCAACAAAGGGCCTCTAAATTATTAACACTCACAATTGACTGAGAATACACAATTGGAATTGCGCCTGCCTAGCAATCACTTTAAGTAGATTAATTAAGTAAAAGTCTTTGTATTTTAAGCAGCGCATTAACATGACATTAAGTTGGTGTTATGTGACCACAAGCCAACGTTAAGCGTCTAACTATTAGGCACACACTAACACCAAACAAAAAACCAATAAAAATGAAATGCAAAAAACACAAAAACAACAGACAGACAGACAGACAAACAAACACACACACACAAATATCAATACATATGTATACAAATGCCTGAATAAAAAGTAGCTAAAACAGCAACAACCGGAAAACGCCGGCAAAAAGTAGCTTAGCAAAAACAAAATGGCTTCAAGCAGCGTTGCAGTCGATTACCTAAGTTTCAAGTGCAAAACGCTTTTTCTTCTTCTTTCGTTTTTGTTTTTTTTTTCCCCCCTGCATATGTATCTTTTTTTCGCCATCTCTATCAACGGGAACTTAGTTAAAGTGCAAATGACATCACTCAGGGCAATTAAGTGTACCCCCAAAGTGTCGGCGCATAAGTATTTATACCTACTCGTAACGTATACGTAAAGATTTACGTACCTAATTGCATATGTGTAGTTTTAGTCTGACTTACTTTCATGTGATACCTTTAATCGTATATGTGTATGTGTATCTTGTAGGCAAGCAGACAAATGTCGTACATCCGAAAGGTAAAAATCAGAAAGCGCCAAATATAGGAAAACAACCATTGAGCGCTGTAATCGCAGGTGAATACACACTTACATACGTAATTAGCGTAATTTTTCTTCTTCACCTCCTTTAATGTTGAGCTTTGTATAGCAAAGGCAAAAGCAACAACATATCACATTTGCTTCCACACCGTTTCAACTACAAAATTCCACCATCTACTCATACTTAGTTAGCTTTCATAGTTAGGAAATATACTAACATTTGTACATACATACAAAAAACTGGTTTTTACAAATTAAATAATCATTATAGTGACACTTACGAATATAACTGTGCACTGTCAAGTTGTCACCACTATAATTTTGAGGTATTTACATAGAGAAATTTTATTTTTACGTAGGTACACTTGCA